TGAAAAGTGAGTCACAATTCAAAATTTTGTTGAATGAATATGAACCAGGGCTGTAATTTCAGTGTATCTTTTTCTACCTTGTATCCTGCTTCTATTTTTGGAAATTTAAATAGCCCAAGTTTTCTGAGAATTCATTTATAATAAACCAGGCTGTTTGGAGTGCTTTACATGCATTAACATTTTAAATCCTCACAGTAACCCCACAAAGATGGAATTATTACTTCCCACTTTATAGATGAAGAATGAGACACTTAGAAGTAACAGAGAGTCCAAAGTCATCCAGGGGCTTTGGGGATGCAAGATCTGGTTCTAGAACTTTGGTTTTCATTGCCCTAGAGCAAGGTTGGTTTTGCTATGGTCCTCAAGGCCTTGTGCTGAGCCTTGTCTACCTCTGGGCCATCCCTTCTTCCTGTGCCTCCTTTCCACTGTGTTTTTATGCAGTGTGGTGTATCTGACAAGTTGCCTGCACACATGCAGGCTGGTGTGCTGCTGGCTGAGTGCAGACCAGACCTGGACCAAGGAGCTGTTGCAGTGTGAAGGGAAGCAACAAAGCCAGGCTTGTAAATATCAGTAAGCTGAGAATATGAGGACTGGCTGAGGGCGGGGCGCTCCTTGCTTCTGAACAAAATTGGGCACTGTTGACCTGGCAGGCCCCTGAGTCCCAGGTGTCACACTCTCCCACTTTCTGAGCTCTCAGCATCACATTGGAAGACCATTAGACCTCTTGCTCAGAATTTGAGCATCCTGAGGGCAGGGTCTGCTTCTCAGCTCACAGGCTCAGTGGCTGGACCTGCCTTCAGAGATACAGGTTTGAAGTTGAGAATCACACCAAATGTGGTAGAATGGGTGGCGCGGGTTATAGTAGGAAGTTAGTGCGAAGAAGGTGTCTGTGCATGTGGTGTCTGTGTATGCTGTGGGTTGATGTGCTGGTTTTGGTTGTGAATGGGTGGGTACAAATGTGTGTATAGAGAGTATGCACGGGGAGTGTGGGTGTTAAGTGCGTGCTGTATATGTGTCTTGGACATCTTGTGTGTGAGAGGACTATTGTGTGTTATATGCATTGGTATATCTGTGTTATCTGTGTGTATTATGCATGTCTGTGTGTTTGGTGTGCCTCAGGTGTATGAGTGTGATGTGTGTGTGTGCATTGGTATACACTACCTTTAGCTGCATGTTCATGTCCTCTGCATGTTTGTGCCTATTATGGATTAAGAACTGATGGACAACTTAACGCCATCTGGATTACATCAGCATGGCATTGAGTGAAGATGCTCCACCTGAGGAAAGTTGCCAGCATAAATAGGCGGAAAAGGAGAAGGGAGGTGTTGAGGCATTGTGTTATTACACTGAGGTATTGTGGGTTCTCCTACATGTTGCTGTTTGAGCCGTTGGTTCTCTGGAGAAGCTTTGGTGCTCAAATTGAGCATTGCTTCCTGGCTCCAGAGGGGAAGACATGTGCTGCTTGGTCTCCAGGATGAACTCCCCATGCTGGCTTCCTGGCACGTACCTGACTGTGCTTATCCTCGGAGGAGCTCAGGGCCTCCGTGTTGCTGAGGATGACTGTGGTGACCAGGACAGCCCTGGTCTTTGTTGTGTGACTTCTTGGCTGTAGCATAGAACCCTCATCCTACCAGCACAGCTCCTTCACCCTGCTGACATGGACTTTTTGGCTTCCACCACTGACCTTTGAACCTTCCCAGTGTAGATCCATAAAACAGACTGGTGTGAATTCTTCTTGTGGGCTCTGGACCTCCAGTTGGATTCCTGCGAGGCATTGTCATGAGCTCTGGGTTTTCATCTGTACTCATGTGGGACATTGCTGTGGCATTTAGGCCTTGACTAAATATTCTATGTTTTTGGTGTTACATATAGATTTCCTACATTTCCTTGTGTTAATTCCTGGTGACCATTATAAAAATAATATTATGAAATCCATATCCTAATTTTAATTGTTCTCTGCACAACCTCTGACTACAACAGTGACAAACATATTAAGTAACAGTATGCTTTATCCCCATCAATTCTGAAGATAATCTGTGGGTAGATACCCTTGATCTCTTTGCTAGTAATGACAAAATTGAGGAATGAATATAAGCAGTGAACTAAAGTCATGCACCTCGAAAGAAACCAGGGTAATTTAGGTCTGGCCAGCTCTGAAATCTGAGTGCCTAATCCAGTGGTTCTCAAACCAGTAATTGCCTGAAAAGTTCATAGAAGAGCTGGCAAACAGACCTGGGAGAGTCATCCTTCATGTGAGTTTCAATTCATTAGGTTGAGGGTGTGTTTCAAGATTTTGAATTTATAATAAAGAGATGCTGATGCTTTTGGTCTGCAGCTCACTTGAAAGCAAATTTGAAAAACAGCCTATTTCTAATCCTCAGGTAGAAAGAATAATCCAGAGGATTAAGACCAAAGTCAATGGCTTTGGGTTATTGAATACAAGCTGTTTTCACATGTACAGTTCCCAGGAAAACCAACTTGAGAGACGGATGAGGGAGGAGTTTGGTTATAATGAATAACATGGTGCTAAAAAGGAAAAGGCTGCTTCCCACCAAGAAACTATTCCAAATTCCTGGAATTTATCTTCTTAGTAGTTCTGAACAATAAAACAGTAAGCTGTATTTTGTGGGAGGACATAATAATACTTTGTGTATTTTTTTGTGTATGTGCTTAATATTTTTCTTATAAAAATTTATCCCTCATAAATATACTATCCCTCATAAATATACTATCATACTCATTAGTGTTAAAGCTGGGAAACTAGGGTTTTTGAGGTACTGGGTCTCATTGTTGCTCTGGCTGGTTTGCTAATCCTCTGTGAATTGGAATCAGTGATGCCTGTCTCGGGGCATTTTCTAGGACAGTAGGAAATAATTTGCGGGCATCTGACAGTGCTTGGCACGATGCAGTCTGGAATTGCTGGTGTGTGTTGCTCTTTCTCTCTCTTTTTCCCTTTCTCTATATTTTCCTCCCTCTGTAAGGTCAAGGCACAGCAGAGAGGCAGGGGTAATTGAAAGCTGACAGCCTTGAGCAAGGAGTCAGATGCCTTTGCCAGCGCTGCGGTTTTGGTGATTGAGACTGATTGGGGTGATGAGCAAATGGGGAAAGTTGCAGATGTGTTTTTAGTGCGATAATGAAATGAAGCACAGAGCAGCATCTGTTTGCTGGACTCGTCATCTGCTCTTACTGGAAATGCCCCCGGTTTGAAATCAAAGTGCTGGTTCCAACCTTGGCTGGCTCTGGCGAGTTAGACCTGACTGTGACTTTCCTGTAGGTTTTCAGTAGATGCTATAAGCCAGGACTTGAAGGTTTGTCAGGTTGAAATATTGCCTTGTAGAATTTATACAGCTTGGTTCCAGGATCAGCTGCATTTTAATTTGATACGCAGCATTCTGCATCCTCAGACATGTTTCCTCCAATGGAATCCTTGCCAGAGCTGAGACACAGTCAAGGCTGAGTTAATCTTGTACACTGTTATTCTTGGGAGCTGGCCTAGCAGAAGTGTGTTAAGTGAAGCTGAGATCTGAACCTTGTTTGATCCTTGAGGTATCCTGTGGGTAAGAAGTGGGGCTTTGGAAGAACACCCAGGTATCACCCACCACTTGCCAATTGGGAAAGTCCAAATGTTACCTCTCTTTCTCTCTTCCTCTTCTGCTCTCATTCTCTGTTTATCTCAGAGCCCATGGGAGTAGCTGGTTGCCAAGTGTACTGCAGGTATACACCTGTTAACCTGCCAGGAATTCACCCCATTCCCCACAGTGATAAACTGAGACTTAAGAAAATGAGAAGACTTACCGAAAACATCACATTGGAACATCTAAGCTTGGAGACTGGCTGAAACTCACAACTTCTAAGATCCCTTTCTTATCTACAAAATGGGGCAAAAAACCTTCAGCAAAAAAATTCTTATTGAAAAACAAAATGGGCTAAAAAAAAAAAAAAAAAAGACAACACATAAAATAACCTGTCTAGCACTGTGGGTATAGTTGGTGGTCAATAATAAATTCGGTTTCTCTTTGTGTGTGGTCCTGGGGATTGAACCAGGGCCTTCACCCCGTGCTACATTGTCAGTCATTTATTTATTTGACAGGGTTCAGAGCACACTGGGATTCCAGGTGTGTCATAGTGATGTTCCTAGTACCTAGATGATTTCACGTACTCGGACTCAAGGAGACTGGTTTTTCTATCAGTCTCCTTGAGTCTTCTTCTTGGTTCGTTTGTCATCCTAAACTTGGATTATCTTAATTTCATTGTTCTTCCATCATTTCAGTGCAGCCCTTTTGGACTGGTGCTCAGGTCTCTTGGCTTGAAAAGTTGTCAGCCTGTTATTTTGCATTCAGCATCTGCCTGGAAGATGATCTTGACTGACTTCCCATGGTTTACCCATGGTTGGTAGCACATACTCTTTTCTGAGACAATCTGGTCACTTGCATGAAGAATATCAGTAATGGAAACCCTGTCAATTGGTGCTACCATTTATTGGGTATTTACTACCTGTCAGGACTGTGCAGAGCATTCGATGTGATATGTTTATTTAACCTTCCCATCACTTATCAAATTCCTATATTACTAACAATGCTTGTGTCACTAAAACTGTGGGATAGAGAGAAGGTAAATGACTTTCCCAGGTCACACAGATAGAAAGCAGGAAAGTAGGCCTATTGGCTCATGAAAGATGAACTCATAGCTGGGATGATGTGGCCTATGTAGAACTCAGGAGAGGACAGTGGACCAGTGGAGTTAGGATACCTGGACCTGAGTCCTGGCCTTGTCTGATAAGAGATGCATGAGACTAACCATGTCTCCTCATTTGTCTGTGTCTTTTCTCTTAAGAGAGACCCCTGAATGGTGACATTGAATGGACATAGGCTGCTCCTTTTGGGCAAATGATCTGGTATCCTTGCCTGTCCATGCACTGTTTGGGTCTTGCTGGAGAAAGCAAGCTCCTATCTCTGTGGTTGCCTGATATGATCTCAGCTATTAATGTCTTTCTTTTTCAGGTAATGAACCAAAAGGATCATGTGTGAAGTACAAGGAACGGTTGAATTTTCGGTAGAGCTGCATAAATTTTATAATGTGGATCTTTTTCAGAGAGGGTGAGTATGCTTCACAGTTTGTATTGTGTACTCTTGTTTTATTTTATTTTATGGCAGAGGGTAGAGGGCAATTAGATATTGAGTAATACATGAAGAAAGGATTATTATTGTTTTTCATTCCTACTGGGAAATTCAAACTTTTAGTGCATCTGAAAACAAAAGTATATATTGACCAATAATAGAAAATGTTAATGTATCTCCTTTCTCCTATATTACTTTCTCTCTTGTAAATTGCTTTTTCCTGAAGTGTACCAGGCCTAAAGAAAAGCGAACTGGTAGGAAGCAAAGCTTGTCGGTGGAGCTCCAATAACAAGATGTTAATATGCTGAATATTTAGGGGGAGCACTGCCCCAAATTCAGATAGAGTCAAATTTTAGCCTAGGTCTTTCAGAACTGAGCATGTTTGTATTTATAACAATCTTTTTAAAAAACATAATAAAATATTACTGCTTTCATTATTTTGAGGATGTAGTCTACAAAACATGCGTGAGCTTCATGATTCTTCATTATAGATGAACCTCTCAGCTTCACTGTAAATAATAAGATGTGGAATGGTTTTGCAGAACAACTAACTGCAGAGCAGAATTGCACACATTCATGGTGGCTGCAACTTCCCTTCTATTACTGAGAAGGAAACAAAAGTTTACAGAATCCGAATTTGTTGTGTACTCAATGAGTATCCAAAGCACCGGTGTCTGGCAGTTTGTTATTGCTGTGGAACAAACTACCTTAAAGCTTAGTGCCTTGTGATCTGATTGCCACTTTCCACATAGGTTTCTGTCTGAGATCCAGCAGTTTGGGCTGCTCTGCATGGTTCTGTTGAACTGGACCAGGTCTGCCTGATCTATGCCAGGCTTGTTCACAGGTCTGGGGTCCTGGGCTTTGGTTCTCCTGATCTCTCCCTGTGGTTACCACGCTCCAGAAGGCCAGTTTGGGCTTGTGGACCTGGTAGCTGGGTTTTAAAAAACAGTGGCAGCATATACAAGTACTTAAAAAAAACTTTTAAAAAGCTTTTTTTATGTTTATAACTGAAGTATATATTTTAATGTATGCATGCAACACTAACGGTTAGGTCAGGGCAACTAGTGTATCTATTGCCTTGAGACTATACTGTTGCTTTTTATTGGGAACATCTAAATCCTCTTTCCTAGCTACGCTGACAAATTTGATTGATTGTTTTCATCCACAGTCACTCTGAATTATTACTGTTAGCCTAATATTAGCAGTTACTCTTTCTGTCCACTTGTACTCATTAATTGCCTCTCCATTCACACCTCTTGTCATCCTTCCTTGCCTCTGGTAACCACTGTTCTATTTTCTATTTCTCTGAGACCAGTATTTCAATTTCTACATGTAAGTCAGAGCATGCAATGTCTTTCTGGGCCTGAATGATTTCACCTATGGAAATGTATTCAAGGCTCATCCACGCTCAGCAAATGAGCAAATATCTTTCTATTCTGTGGCTGTCCACGCTCAGCAAATGAGCAAATGTGTTTCTATTCTGTGGCTGAATAGTATCCCACCATGCGTGTGTGTGTGTGTGTGTGTGTGTGTGTGGCTTTTCTGATGTTACCAGGACAAAATATCTGACCAGTACAACTCAGAGGAGTAAAGCCTTATGTAGATTCATGCTTCAGAGTTTTCAATCCATGGTTGGGTGGCTCTAAGCCAGAAGCATCGTGGTAGAAAGTGTGGCAGAGGAAGTCTGTTTGACTTCATGCCACCTGTGAAATAGACAAAAGGAGGAGAGCCGGAGAAGAGCTGGACATGGTGATAAGTCCTTGTGATTCCAGCAGCCTGGAAGCCTGAGGCAAGAAGATTTCAAGTTCAAGCCTAACCTGGGAAACTTACTAACTTAGTGAGACCTTGTCTCAAAATAATAATAAAAGTAAAAATAGAAAAGGCTAGGAATATAGCTCAGTTATGAATCTCTGGGTTCAATTCCCAATAATAAAAAATTAAAAAAGTAGCCAGAGAAGAAGGAGAAATGCACCAGATGTGTTCCCCAAGGCAAGGCCCCAGGAACCACCCAAAGACACTCAAAATTGTACCTTAATACCTTCTAGGCATCTTTCAAATTTGCCAGGTTAAAAACTAGGACTGAGTGTCACAATGTGACATTTTGTTTATCCATGCATCAGTCAGTGGACGCACAAATGTATTCCATGCTAGCCAGTGTGAGCAGAGCTGCAGCAAACATGGGAGAGAAGCAATCTCTCTGATGCAGTGAATTTCTTTACTTTGAACATTAGGATAATCATAGTGATATTACGATAATAGTAGTGGAATTGTTGGCTTTCATGGTAGTTCGATTTCTACTTTCTGAAGGAATCTTTCTACTCTTTTCCACAATTATTGTGCTAATTTTCAATGCCACTAAAATTTTATGAGTATTTCCCTTTATAAGAGCCATAGCTCATTATGGTTTTACTGGTATTTTCCTGATTATTAATGATGAACATTTTTCCATAAATTCTTTGGCCATTTATTTGCATATCTTCTTTACAGAAATATCACTTTAACTTATTTATTTATTTAACTTATTATTGATGCCGGTCTTGGAATTTGTGTATAGTTGTCTTTAATGCATATGTTACCTAAAATGAGGCAAATTCAGGCTTGAAAATAGATCCCATCACTTGATGAAAAAGATGAATGCACACACACACACACACACACACACTTCTATAACCTACTGTCAGACTGGACTCTAGCTTCAAATGGATAAGCTATGGAATTAATATCCGTTAAGGTAACAGGGTCTGACCAGACAGTGTCAGGGATGGGAAGTGATTCTGGACATGTAGACATAGGGTTCTGGAGAGTATTGAGCACTGGGCTTAATGTATCAAAGCTTCATGAATCTTCTGGAAGCTCTCTTCCCATGGTTCATCCCCGATTTGGTCAGAAGTTTCAGGGCATAGTAATAGGGTCCCTGGGTTGTGAGTCTGGGTGCCTGGGTTCAGGCCATGCTTCTTCTCCTAAGGGGGGTGAAAGGTAATCCAGCGCATCACTCTGCTTTCAGCTTCCCTAGTTTTGTGTACGGGAAGCAGTTTGGTGGGTCATGTGTCATCCTGCATTAGACACTTTTCTCTTTGCGCCCTCGTGGATTTTTATAACCAGTGGCAGTAGTTAACCGTATAGTCTGCATTTGCCAGAGAGGTGACTTGGGATCAGCGAGAACAAATCACAGCCCATTCTAGCCAAGTGAAGCTGGGAACTAAAAGTAAGGCTTTTTCTTGAAAAAAAATTTTTTTTTACACAACATCCAGACTGGTATTTAACTCACCACAATCCTCCCTTAACCTCTCTCAGTCTCCCTCATAGACATGCACAATCATATCTGGCTCAAAATCTTGAATAATCTTCTATTACTCAAAGCTGGCCTCCAAGGTGGGCTGAGTCCTCCTGACCTTGCAAAAGATCATCATAAGAATGTGGGAAGAAAATTTTAAAATGTCTACTTAAAATTCTTTTATCTAAAAAGAAAAAAAAATGCATCAAATTCACTCATAATTAGAACCCAGAGTGCTCTGAAGACCCTGTCTGTTCACATGGCAAACAGCCATGAGTCCTGTCTCAGTAATAGGTATCAAGAGAAAAGAGAGGTCCCTACCATGCACAGACTGCTATCACCCTCATGTTGCCAAATGCTGATATCTATACCTGGCTGGTTATACACATCTGCACATTTGTCTGTAATTTTAAGCATACAAACCTCCTCAGAATTCTAAGGGAATCATGAATTGATGTGCTATTAATCATGGATGGATGACAAATATCAGGAATGCTAAGAAGGACACGAACTGAACTTTTGCAAAAGTCTCTAGGTACACATGCTGAGATTAAAAATGGCAGCTGATCAGATCCAACAATGAGTGGGCTGAGAGATTTGGATTTATTTGAAAAACTATTTGATATGCAAATTTATAAGCATTGTTCATCACGCATCATACTAACCATGTACTGGGCTTTCAGATGTAGACAGCCTTGTGGGAAATAATCACCATTAGCAAACTACTTCAAAATGAGACACCTAAAACATTAACAGACCTTTGAGAAGTTGTGAAAGAATTTCAATAAGATATTGAAAAAAGTGAGTGTGGAAATCATAACTTTTCCAGCAAGGCTGTACCACACTTCTCTAGAGTCCTGCTAGATCTTTTGGGTGTACCCTCAATTTGATATGCTGATCACTACTAATGTTAATGGTGAATTAGAATAAACTTGATCCAAAACTTACAATCTTTATAATATATATTTTAGTAAGAAGAAAAGGCAAAATATTCCATTAGTGCATGAAATATCTATTTATAAATAATAGATTATTACATTCTTATTTTGTTTCCTAAAGTGCCATTTTTATATTTCCAGTGCATGTTGTATATTATACAGTCATACATACACATGATTTATAAATGGATATACATATACTGGGGTTGCATGGCCACAGATGTATGTACAAATAAGCATGCAGATAATTAATAGTTGGAGACCACACTTCCAGCAAATCAGAAAAAGTATCACCAGCTTCTAACCCTTAGTGTCAATCTTTCACAGCTCCTGAGAGTATGCTTGGCTTAGGCATGTACTTCAGATGAGCAGAAGATGTCTATGCAGGTGAACTTCATGTGAGCTACATCTACGGTCAGATTCAAGAGTGCTTTTTGGGAAAAGAATTAGACTTCTGAAAGGAATGGAGTTTGTTCTGGGATCTATAAATTCAGATCAGCAATGATATATTGAAGCTAAAAATCGCTAGGCCTCTGGATCCTGCCTGCAGGGAGATAAGGGCAGGCTGGATATGATGTCAGCCAGGATTCTGGATCTTCCAGGGAGCTTCTTAACAGACATGATCCCTGATGCTCATGAGAGTGAGATTCTTCTGTGATGAGTCCCACATGAACCATGCTTAGAACAAAGCATAACTACTTTACTCAGCAAGGGTTCTACGGAGAAAGAGTGGTTACAATCCAAGCACAGTGGGTAGTGTGGGACCC